CTAGATTAGCATACTTTTGTGAATTATAACAATGAGGACAGTTTGAACGGTCGAAAATCATGCAAGCACAGTGATTTTGAGGCAATTGAAAAGATCACTTAAGCTTTATAATCCCACTAACTTTAGTTTCTTTGGTTTAGAAACATTACTCATTCGCGACAAGAACCTGCGTTTTGCTGACAAATAACAACAAATGAAAATGAAAATGAAAACAACTGAAAAGAACTCTAATTCTTAGAGGGCATGCTTACCCGTTTCTGAGAACGTTTTCGTTTTCCCAGACAACTTTTGTGACGCTTCATCGATTGTCGGCACAATCTGCTTTGGCTTCGTTGCAGTGAATGTCGGAGTGAGAGTATTTCGAATGCGTTTCCATGTCTCATCCCGTGATATTAAAGAGTCCCGAGCTGAGAGGAGGGTTGGGTCTAATGAACGGCGGTCGATGTGGGAACTTCCAAAATTCCTTGACCATGAGTTTGCTTGACTATTTCGGGGTCTGTGACGACAATGACTGGGGTTTGACCAACACATCTTATGGACTCGGCCATATTTGTAGAAGTAATTCAAGAACATCTTGTGCATGCCGCCATATTTGAACACATCGGGAAGGCTACCGACCCATGGCCAAGGTTTTGGGCCGGGGAGCGGACAGTCTCCGAGGATCGAGTTGTAACGCTGCAGACCTTGCCAATAAATAAAAAGTAGTATTCCAAGGGCTGAAGCACACCACGTATACACGTTGGAGCTGAGAAAGTACTCTGCCACGGACTCCATGTTTACGAGTTAAGGGAAACGTTGGGGTTGATTACTTCGTTGGGAAAGATCATGTGCTTATATAAATAATAATTGCGTGACAAGTTAAGCGTCACGACTTGTTAAAGCATGTGCGCCTATACCTTGCGTTTCCGTTTGGCTGGAATTTTTATCTGCAACTGATTGGTTGATCGATTGATTGTGATTAAAAAAAGCTTAATGTTTGTAAATTATTGAACTCAGCTCTTTGCGTTTTATCGTTTCATCAGCATCATCAGTTCTCGAGGAGCCAGTAGGCGCATAAGGCCGTGTTTTATCGGTTGCGCTGACAATGGAATGTTGAATGTTCCTGGTTTTACCGATAGCCCTCTAGATATTTATCAGCGTTTTATCGGTTGCACTAACAAATATCTAGAGGGCTGTTGATAAAACCAGGAACATTCAACATTCCAGTACATTCAGGAACATCAAAAAATTAGAATAATATTTATGAGAAAAATCTACTATAAATAACCAAGAAAAGAAATATGAAAACAATACGAAGCTTTCGCTTCCCAACTGTCTCGGTCTGTGCAAGAGAAGATTTGCGCAAAACCCCGTCGCTTTTTACCCAAACTGTTAACTGATTCTTGGATATGTAGTCTTAAAAAAACTTCTGCGTAGGAGATTTGACAGAAAGACAATACACAAATAAAAGAAAACGTGGCGTATTTAATTTTGTACATGAAACTCCAATTCTAAAATTCCCCCAGGTTTCAGGTCAGCTCGTCGGTCCATACATGAATTCTGGAACAGAAGTCGAATCACGATCAATATAAGATCTGCACGAGCTACTGTTTTCAGTCTGTGTTTCAGTTTCGCTGTCGCTCAAAGTGTCCGTCACATTTTCAGTTTCTGATAAAGGAAAGTTGTCTCCAAAGGCAAGTCGACCCTCGGGTGTGAAATTTTCTAATCGTTGCCATCTCTTGGGTGGCCATACAATGTGAGTTGCTTTCCCCTTGATCAAGCCAATGGTAACCTGAAACAACAACAACAACAAAACATAAATAAAAAGAAAGAAAACGAAGGGAAGAAAGGAAAAAAATTGAAAAAAATTGAAAAACAGAGAAGTCGTGATGCAAAGAGCGATAAGATAGCAGAAAGACTGACTGACTGACTGTTTGACTGACTGACTAACTGACGGACTGACAGACAACTGACTGACTGACTTACTGACTGACAGTGAGTGAACGGAAAGACTCACTGACTCAAGCTGGTGGGATAAGAATGACTTCTACATAACTGGAGGAGTTGGCAAGGAAGAGGACCTGGAAGTATTAAGTTTTGTAGGAGATGAAGGAAAATGAAAATTTGACCGTATTAACGGGGTAGCCGCATCAACGTGGTAGGGTCAAATTTCATGACTGGTCTATTTTAAGAGACGTCTTGACAGACATCACAATTGCACCTTTAAACAACTGTCTCTAATAAACTTTAATAAACATTCAAAATGCAGGTCTAATTTTTTAAAAAAGTTGAAACTTCAGTCAGTACATACAATATTAGCAATGGAAAGATGAACATAACAGTTACTGGTTTGAGTGAGTACAGAGTACAGAGTACAAATTTTGTTAGCACTCCCCAAGGGGGCTTTTCAGTACTAATACTACTAAATAACTTACATTAAAATTAAAATGAAATAAATCAACGTACCAAGGAATTATAAAAATGATATGAAATAAGGTGGAATTATGTGACAATATTGTATTATGAGTGACCATATTAACGGGGTGAAATTATAGAGGATTATACAAGTTGGGAATTCAGAATGTGTCAGTTGGCCGTATTAACGGTGTGGCCACATTAACGGGGGTTTCTTGTAAGAAAATGTATGGGCGTTTCGCAGGTACAAAAAGGACTGGCCGTAATAAAGAGGTGAACGTAAGGCGGGGTTTCGAATAAACATTCAAAATGCAAGTATAATTTAATAAAGTTGAAACTTCGATCAGTACATACCGATATTAGCAATGGAAAGATGAACATAACTGGTTTGAGTGGCCGTATTGACGGGGTAAAATTATAGAGGACTTTAGAAAACAGTCCTAAGAAAATACCCGCGCTGATTGGTTAAAAATCGTGTTTCCATAACTCGATAGAAACACTGAACTGGCACGAGCAAAGAGAATTTACATTTTGATAATCAAAGTTAACAAGTTGTTTTCCTTTTTTATTTCGTCGCGGTGTTTTCTAAAAGTGTTCTCTGTGTTTCTATCGAGTCATAGAAACACTCGTGAAAGTTTGGGAGAACCCGAAAAAGCTGTGGAAACACTCGCCTTCGGCTCGTGTTCCCACAGCGTTTCTCGTTCTCCCAAACTTCCACTCGTGTTTCTATAACTCGATAGAAACACGGTACATGTTTTCTATTCTTAAACACAAGTTGGGATTTTAGAATGCGGCTGTTGGCCGTGTTAACGGGGTGGCCACATTAACGGGGTTTTTTTATAAGAAAATGTATTGGCGTTTTGTAGGGGCCAAAAGGACTGGTTCCACTATTACGAAGATCGAACGGAAGACAACAAACGTGGGCATTCTCTGGTGATGGCCTGAGAATCAACTGCAAGTGAACGAGTCACTTGATAGCCTTGACTGTATATTATAACGGCAACTCACCGGCCCAAACGAGTTACTGTCATGGCTGTGAGAATGATTGTCTCCCTCTACCCAACAGTGGCCCTGTGGAATTTTCACAATCTTCTTCTTGTAGTTTAAACTTCTATAAAGGAAAACAAATATCCAACTAATTTAACTGCACTCGGGACGTATTTCAGTTCTCATATTTGCCTTACTAAAGAGGTTTCAACTACTTGTATCTTTTGATCACAGGCGGCCCAAGCTCACGTTCTGATAAGTACATGACCACGACCTTTTTGCCTATGAGCTAGCTCGTACCCATATTTACGATTAGCCAATCAGAGGCCGTGCCTACTGTCCTGATATCCTGCGAAGTCAAGTCACTGACCTGACATGGCTACAATATCATGGTCACTTGGCCGAATTTGGGAACGGTGAATATGGGTGAAAACACATTCGGGTTACATTGTGCGCCTTGTAAGTGATACCAAAATCTGTAAGACAACGAGCTTAAGGCCTGCAAAGAGAATACAAGTTTTCCAACCCCATGGGAGTTCTAAGTTAACCCCACTTTGTGCACCCCCTTCCAATAGGGATGTGAACTACATTGGTTAACAGATTACTGAACTGCTATTTATCATTCGAGGGTCCTAGGGTGATTCCTTCCAAACAATTTTTTTCTAATTTTTTTTTAATAAAGAGGATAATTTGAAAACCAAAATTATGCAATAAAAAATATAGGTCACCATGCTCGTTTAAGAGAAAACGAGCATTTATTTCGCTTAGGAGGGAAATCTCTCACGTTGTGTAAGCGCACGTGCTCATGTGCCCGCGCTAATGACTCGAAAATCGTGCGCAGTAAGGTTGCACCCTGCAATACTGAGAAATCATCTTAAATAACAGGCACGCTGTTGGAAGGAAAAGGAAATACATGTAGGAAACCAGAGTCTACATGTGCACATCTTAGGGTTTGTACTAATCAGTTAAGTCCTTTTCATAACTTATGTACCATACAAGTGAACAGTGCTTTTCATGCATTCTGATTGGTTAACTCATGGGTGATTAGCAAAGTAATTTATTCACCTCCGAGCAGAGATTTTGAAATTTCTGCCCATTTTTCATTTTATTGTCAGAAATAAAAGGTTTTGTTTTTGGTCTGCTAGTAATTCAGCTTACGAGACATTATCCATGTCAGTGTCAATGGAAGTGGTGGGTATTTGCCTTGCTGCTAAATTGCAGCTCGGTAAAAAATTATCCACTATTATTCACCAACACTTCAGTAAAATAATGATTGTTTAATAAAATGCCTCACAGTATGGTCACTGGCAACTAAAAAATGCAGTATGAATCCTCAAACAGCATAATTTTTATGCGAACATTGGGGAGCAGGGATGACACAATGGTGAGAGCACTTGCCTTCCACCAATGCGGCCCGGCTTCGATTTGGGTTGAGTTTGTTGTTGGTTCTCAAGTTGCTCTGAGGGTTTTTCTCTGGGTTCTCCAGTTTTCCTCCCCCCACAAAAAACAACATCTTCAAACTCCAATTCGGCCAAGATAGAGGACCTGCATGAAAACCAACTGATGTGACTCCCTCTCCAAATGTTGAAATTTATCAATTTTATTATTTATCTATTTTAATTATAACTTACTTTACATGGTCACCTTCAAGAGCTATGACTCGTTTTATAAGAACACCACCAGGATCTGTGGGATCACTATATCAGATTAAAAAAACACAAACACATATGAAACAATTACTGTAACAATTTTATTTACAATAAACCTCAATAGAGAGTACAGCAGAACCCTGCCTTATGGTCACCTTGTTGATACAGTCACCTCCTTATTATGGCCATGTTTTTGTCGCTGTGAAATGCCCACACATTTTCTTTCAAAGAAAACCCCTTTAATGCAGGCACCCCATTTATATGGCTAATGGCCAAATTCTGAAATCCCAGCCTGTTATGTACATAATCCTTTACAATTTTACCCTGTTTATACAGCTGCTCAAACCAAGTACATGTATGTTCCTCTTTCAATTGTTAATATTTCATGTACTCATTAAAGTTTCATTTTTATTAAATATATCTGTATTCCAGATGCCTATTAAAGAACATTTAATTGTTTAGAAGTGCAATTGTGATATGTCTGTTAAGCCTTCACTCAATTTAGACCAGTCGTGAGATTTCACCCTGTTGTTAATACAGTAAGGTAAAGTCTGCACATGAGCCAAGTGACCCGTCAGACAGGAGCTTAATCCCAGTTTCTGTAGCCTGAAGCGACTAGGAGTATTTCTACTCCCCGCTGGATGGGATGCCAGTCCATTGCAGGGTTACCTCCAGCACCAACCATGAGGCCATCGCGCCTCCTACATTGTTAATACAGCCACCCATTAATACGCCCAAATTTTCATGCCCTGTTGGTGACTGTATTAACAGGGTTCCACTATATTATTTGATATCTGAAACAGTGTCATTCAGTATAAAGTGCATAATGTACATCTATTATATCTTTAATTTTTTTTTTTTGACCTCTACATATTCACCTCCAGAGTATCAAACTGCCAATCAGATTTCATCTTTTTGATTGTTTCATGTACTTCAGTCTAAACTAGTTAAACAGTTTAAACTGACAACTTAACTGAGCTCAGTTCACTTACATTAATCTGGGCTCTATATTGGACAGTGGATCCAGTATATAAAATAAATTATATACCGGTATATATTATAATCTATGTATATTATAAGTGCACTTATCAGTTCCCTGGCTGGATAGAGCTATGTCAGGTATGATAATCATGCCTGGATTAACTCTACCCATCCAGGCAACTGTCACAATCATTCTAACTTGGCAGAGAGGGGAGGGGGGGCTTTAATTTAGATGGGCACATTATACTCTGTCAGTTGTGTCGAAGAGTGTCAGTCTCCATTTGTTACTTTATTGCTTTTATGGGGAAGCGTTATTAAAAAGTCAATTTTTAATATTATTATCTGCTACATGTAGTATTAATTTTTTTTAATATCTATTTATTTAGGATTGTGAAATAAGCTGGCCCACATTATTTTTTCTTCATAACTTTATTGATTTACAAGCAAATCCCCACTACAGTTTTGTAAATTTTAACAATAGAATTTTTCTGCTGTTAGATGTAGTCCTACATTTATTTAACACTTTTTAACAAAACAACATTTTACCTTGTTTTTATGCTTACAGGACATATTTTAGGCAAAACAGCATTTTATGTTATTTCTCTATTCACAGGCATATTGTTGTTTTTTTTCAACATACAAGATAACAAAAAAAAAAATAATAATAACATTATTACTGACAATGTTTTTATAGTATTATATTCAATAACTTAGTTGAACATGTATAAATTAAGGTAACAGTGTACCCCAAATGACCATCATTCATTGGCGCCACTTTACGGTCGGATTTAAACCCCAGTAAAGTATATACACTGTACAGTACTGCCTGGAGTCATATGCACATTGGGATGCATGAACCGCAAGGGCAGAACATGTAAAGTGCACGTGGAAGGAATTGAATGTCTTCCTCAAATAAGAATCAATAGCTTTCCAACATTCCCTCCAAACACAGTTTCTTTCTGAGGGAGGAGTTGGATAGAATTGATACATTTTCTGAAAGCTTAAGAATAGAAGATTACGAAGACCTGTATATTTATTAAAACAAAAAAGGTAAGGTTTTCCTAATATAGTGCCCTACTTCTCAAAGCACAGAGGTTCACTAAATCAAGTTTGTTTCCGTTCGGATTTGAGCGGGAGGATGTGATCAACATCGCTATGTCTTCTTGACACTTTTCTCTAAAAAGCGGTACATCAGGAAATTTTGATTACTGGTTTGTTTTTGGCATGCAGTTAAACTTTGAGTTTTGAAAAACATGCATTCTCTTCACTAAAATTGATAACTTTTGAAATATGCAAAAAATACACGTAAGAATTCCGCGACACCTTTCCTTCCTTTCGATTTTTATAACGCCTTAAGTACCCTAGACATACATGTAAACAACGAAAGAGCCCACTCAAAAACAACGTGAAGGAAACCCACAAGATACTGATTGAGTTGAGCTGTTACTGTTTATACTGCTTGGAACAGCAAAAGTGCCAAGGAAGTAATGCTTACTAAAAATTTAGAGCGTCTTCCTCGTCCAGTGCAAGCAACTTCTCCTGCTCGAAGCAGGAACGTCTGTCGCTAGCAGCGAACACATCAGCCCAATTCTGATCAAATGTTTTTGAAACCTTTTTCCCCAAATTTTCCCTCTGTGTTGCTTTCTTCGTACTTGCAAATGGACTCGAACTTTTGTGTTTCTTCAATGACATATTTAAGCTTAAATCAACAATCTACAAACGGAGAACACCCAGACCAGCTCGTCAACTATACCAAACGCAAATGTTTAGTAATTGTTCATATGCAATAATCTGTCACGCAACTCTTAATGCAAGTTTACTTCTCATGACAACCTGTTGACGGCTATCAATTAGAGACAATTAATGCAAAGACACGATTTTCCTTAGTTTGTAACTTCGCAGAGAATCAATCTCTTTTCATACAATTTTTTTAAATGAAAGATTGCAATAAGATCTATCTGATAAAGTGAAAAACATTTTTTTCAAAAAATGGTCAATTTGAGGGTATACTCATCTGTACCTTTAAGAAAAAATACCTACTGCTTCTTAAGTTGTTCATAATTATTTAATTTAACTACCTCTAACACTTTCCATTTCTTTTTTTAAGTGGCTGATCTTATTGGCCTTAAAAGCTATCAATGTTACTATTTTTCTGTTTCACATTTGATTTCCAAAATGTTTTTTCCTTTACACCTACATGTCCACAGATATGTTTTTCCCACAATTACTGTAATATAGTTAATTCAATCCATTCCCTCCTTCAGAATACCTATCGTAATGTCACATAACAAGAGGCATCTGCAACTACCAAACCTATTTTATATGTAAGCCAACACCATATTCCAAAAACACTGGGAAAAAAAGCATTCAAATAGAATGCGACAAAGAGTTTCTTGACTCTCTTGACAAAAGGTGCAGTTAGGGTTTGATACATGTCCTATTTTAAAAAGATGGTCATTTGGATAGAGGATGACTAGTTTAACACTGTATTGAAACAGAGCCTACACGAGGTTTGCTTGCAACCCTCAAAGGTAAGAGGTATGCTTCTGAAAGTTGGTCTTCTTAATATTTATATAAATCAAATTCTTGACCAAGCTTATCCCATTTCTTGTGGGGCTTAATGGACAATTAAAATCTCCACCCATAGTAATATTTTCAATGGTATCAAAATCATTTTTCAAGTTATAGTTTGCAAAAGCAAGAAATAGAAGGCGTGAGAGGTCACAATATTAATTGTGACCCCTCGCACAAAAACATACACTAACGGATATCCATTAAACAGACTATTTTATTCAAATGGATAGCAAGACCCATTCAAACAGCTGCTTTTATCAAATGGATAACCTCAGCCGTTCGAACAGATGAATATTGCATCCTATTGATCTTGAATGGATGACAAACGGATCAGAAACAGATGACAAACGTCAAGCGGATGGTTTTTAGCCATTCAAACAGATACCCGTGAGTGTGTATTTTCATGTAAGGGGTCACAATTCATTGTCTCGGTTTGAGCCTTAAGTGTTTACCAGAAGAGTTTGTTCACCACTGAGTAGTACCTTGAGTATGAGAAAGCTGCCCCACCTCCTCTATCTAAAAAGTGTTCCAACCTCTCTGAAAAGGTGTAGTCTTAAAGCTGGTTTTGACTAGCAGTAGAGTCGAAAAAATCTACATTGTAACAGTTAATTGAAAAAGTGACAGGCACCCACTTTAACTAAAGAGTTTGAAAATCATGTACATACATCAGTGTGACAATGTCACCTCTATTGATTCCTTCAAACTGTCTCACAGCCCAGCAGTTGACCACAACTTTATCACTACTCAGGTGTGGATTGGGATTTAAGGTTGGCTGAACAAAATGAAAATGAAAAACAAAAAAATAGAATAAGTTTATAAATTTTCACATACATGTACATGTTGGAACTTTATATAATATAGTGACATGGGTTACACCTGGTAAGTGTTGCAAAACTTTTTTTTATCTGAAGATATGATTGATCATTCCAGTTATAGACACAACTTAAGCAGCTGTGAAATTAAAGCCTGAAAAAATTCAGGCTTGAACGGGATTCAAACCCATGACCTCTGTGATACCGCTGCAGAAGATAGATAGATAGATAACTTTATTTCAACTCGCGTTGATGAGGCTGATAACAGCCTGAGCTATCAAGCCAACTAGGAGCTGGTCACATTGTGAGTTCATAATACACAGGGGTTTCATTAACATTTTCAGCAGGCGGGCAACTGGTTTTCACAGGCCGGCAAAACTTTTTGAACTGAACTTCTTTATAAGGAAAACGTTCCTCTAGATGGTTAAACCGGGGGGACAAAATTGTCCTCATATCTGGCGAATTTGCCCGGTGTCCAGCCCTTAATGAAACCCCTGAATATACCCATAGAGAGTGAAGAATACAACTGAATATAAGAAAGATCATACATTTGAACTGCGGAGAAAGATATGAAGACATGATTGATCATCGCAGTTATATATGAAACTTTAGCAGTTGTGAAATTGAAGTGAATGAAGTGCCCAAGGTCAGGGCTCAAAATTAACTTTTTCATTTGGGAGCCAGCTGGCGTCTAATGGAAAAATTTTGGTTGCCAGATCGTAAATTTTGGTCGCCAACTTATTTTATATATAACTTACACAAGAACTCAATTTTATACGTTACTTTGCATGCAAGAAAAGTCACAATTGAAGAGCGAAAACAATTAGAAACAACACGAGTAACACTTAGTTATAAAGCTGCCGTTGTTCTCAGGTGGTATGTCTCTGCTCTGAAGGTGATGGTTGTCTCCACAGTCATTTTAAATGAAGCGAAGCATAAAACGTTTTAAGTTCATGGTTTTCATTGTGAGACAAACGCGGGTCCTTGCGTATTTTCCCTTTGCTACTTCTTCGAAATGCCGTTCTTTATTTTGTACTTGCTTTCCTCAATGCCTTTCACTCACATAATTCTACAACTGATTGGTATCTGCCGCCATTTTTTGCGGCAAATGAAAAGCACATGGCGTTGAAGTGTGCCTGCGATCCCAGTTTCGGAAGAAGCTGCTGAAACAATATGGTGCGCCGTGAACGCAGTATCGACATGTCGAATATGCATTCAATTTTTTTGATTATCGTGTAATATTCTGACATTATTTTACTGGGGACAGAAAGGTGAGTTGTATACTAGCTACCGTATCCGATTGATTTCCTAATATAAGGATTTACAAACAAAAGTTGTGTCATGGTTTTCTTTAGTTATCGGACAAAATGCGAGTCGCCAGTGCTCAATTTTTTATCGCATTGGAAACCCTGAAGGTGCCGGAGGAGGGGAGAGGGTGACAGGGTTTTGACACCAGTGACAGATATAATTTGTTGAGGAGAATTTGACATCACATGGGAGGGTTTGAGCAAGCTGCCTCAAAACCATGGAACAACCCTGTTCTTTTGTAACACTGTGACTCAAACAGAAGATCCTTCAAAAGCATTGTGCCATGTGTGAAAGCGAATATATATTGTAGTTTTAATTGTGAAACTTAATATTTAATCTCTTAGATTGGAATTAAGAGACGAAGGAAGTTCAAAACATCAAGGGTTCAAAGGGGGTGTTTTTTCTGTCCTATTACACATCTAAATTTGCCATGTTTCAGTGTTGGAAGTTTTATTCTTGGGTGCTTTAATTTGTAGAAGAAAGAAAAAAGAAAAACCACTGAACCCAGGGTGATTAGACTACCATTTTTTGCCCAGGGCTGAGTATGGCAAAAAGTTCAAAGAGGAGGACATGGGGATTTGCGGTGTTGCGTTGTGCGATGTTTGTGTCTTTTGCACTGCGGTGTTCGGTGAAATGAAATTGTTTGCAGTGCTAGAGTTTTTTGATTTACCTTTCTCAAACCTAAATTTGACCTAAATTTAGCATGTAAACTTCGTTAATCCACGCTAATTTATGACAAACACGTACCATTAAGGTTAATAATTTGCAACAAAGTACGGACCATCACTGTCTAATCAATCTTCAATATGCTTCGGCTGCCAATCTGAAGCTGTTTTCATTTATAGGTAACTTGACAAGGAACTCGACTTCTGCCACCCGGAGCTCAGTGTTCGGTAGACACATGTAGGAGCGAGGACAGAAACAATCCTGGAAATTCTGGAAACGCCAAGACCGAATATAATGTATTATTAACTGCACAGTTTTTTTCTACGAAAAAAGGAAAAGGTGGCGAAAACTACTGACCACAAAATATATTCAGATGTCGCGTTGGCAGGGAAGAAAGAAGGCTTTCTAAGCTAAGAAGGCTTTGTAACTTACACACGTTTACTATTTTTTTCCTTTTGCTATTTGGCTTCATCTAGAGGTCATTTTGATACTGGTCTGTACCCGCTCCAAGGTCCTGCGACTTTCTTGACCTTCTATTTTTTCAAACGATTATCGATATCGAACGCAAATGCAGCTAGCTCCGGAAATCAATACTTTCAGTCAAGATAAGGCTTCAGTCAGTGGGTTTATATGCCAAGAAAAGTGAGCAAAGAAAAAGAAGAGGGATCTGGGGTATACGTAAAGGCCATCTCTGGAGGCTCCTCTCTTTTTTCTTTGTCCGTTTCCTAGCTTTGCGCAAGGTTTCTTCACAAGAGCAAGAAAACTGATTTACAGGCATCAGCAGTATTGACATATGCGGAATGAAAAGCGTTGTGATGTGTTTCTTTTGTGGAAAATTGTTGAGGTATATAAGTATTATTTTAAGTGTAGATGAACGGATCATGGCGCTAAAAATACGTGTTGCGGTGACGGTGTTTCGTTGACTTTTCTTGCGGTGATGCGGTGTTCGTTAATTTTTTTTTGCGGTGTTGCGGTGTTTAGAACCCCCCCAAGTCCCCCTCTTCAAATGCTCGGGGAATTTGATGGGTACACATGAACGGCTCTGACAACCTCAGGTCTATTTAGTTGGGAGGCAACTAAGAGGTGAGCTAACCAACGTTAAAATACTTCTTAATGACTACAATAATGTAAGCTAATTAATCTACGGCAGGTGCAAAACTAAACCTACTTGCATAGAGATGCCCAACACTCCTTTGACACTACCCACGTTCTCAACGAATGTTACCACGATCGGCAAACCGATAACAAAGCCCCGGGTAAACATTCCAAGAACGTTAAGATATGGCCGAAATCTCTGATAAACCATAACACCAGCGATGAACTTTGCCTGCAACCCAAAAACGTTTTCGCCATCACTCCAGCTGCTATCTACGCCGCCATGTTGTTATTTTAAAAGCTCGTTCCCAGCGTCCTCTCTCTACCTGCACCAGTCCTTTTTAAGATGCGCGTCCAAGATGGCGTAGAACAGCAGGCCGCACCGTAGTTCGAGGTTTGAAATGTTAAAGTACTTTAGCAATTGTTAAAGCTATGGAATCAGATGGTGATAAAGCAACCGCAGTTGGGTGTCCATCAGAAACGGTAAGTTTTGCAGCTGTATATTGATATTATACTGCAAAACTAATACAATGCATATAAGCTTATTATGCTGCAAAAATAGTAATGCGCTCTTATTAACCGAGGAGGAGGTCTGTATTGTAGAATCTTGACCGAGGTCGTGAGTACAGAACGAACTATAGTAATATCCAATTGTATTATTTTTATTCAGATATTTACAGTTGGTGTGATATCTCACAATTTTTACCAACTTAACTGAGTGTAGATGTAGAGTGAAAGCCTAATATCTGCTAATATTGGTCTCGGGATCAAAATTTCGGGTTTATATTAAGGGCTGCTTAATTAAAGCAGATATACAGGTTGAGCCCACAACTCAGTGCAACTTTTCAGAAGATTAGAGGTCTGACTTCCATGGTTTAATGATGCAGTCTGTGCGAATCAATTGCACATAACATTGTGATCAACCTGTGAAAGGGAATATATATACTGGGGGAATTTGTTGCATAGTATTCCCCTACCTCTGGAAATAATCATCAACATAGCTCTTTCCTCCTATCATTACCCTGTTCAACCGGGGGATCAACCCCAGGGGATCAACCCCAGGGGGAAGCTGGTGATGATGCTGATTTAACTCAGGCTTCAAATATCAATCAAAAATGCAATGTAAAACACAAGACTGCGAACCAGTCAGTGTAAAACGCAGACTGCAGGTAAAATGCAGGCTCTGATGGTAAAATACAGACTGCAGACTCTAGACTTTTTAACTGAATCATGCTACCATTTTCATCATTGAGAGACAACCGTTTTAACAGGCCGCTGTCTGTAGTCCACAGCTGTCTGTAGTCTGCGGTCTACATGTATGTTTTACACCGACCAGACTGCGAACTACAGACTGCAAACTACAGACCAGGGGTACATGTAAATGCAGACTGACTCAGGTAAAACGCAGACTGCAGTCTACAAACTTCTTAAGTATACAGTGTGTAATTTCCATTGTCAAGTGCTAGCCATTAACAGGTTTATTCAGGCTAATGACACAGCGAAATTCTGCACTCCAGTTCTGGTTAGACTGAATATCACCCCGGTTAGCCTGAGTAACTCTCCAGTTGGCCTGTTTGCAGTTAGCTCTCAATGATGGAAATTGTAACACGTTTCAGTTAAAAAGTCTGCAGTCTGTTACCCTTGGCCTATAGTCTGCAGTCCACAGTCTGTGTTTTAATCTGATCACTTCAAATGTTATGCAGACATATCTTCCTCTTGTTACTGGTTTCCCAAGTAAACTCTAATAAATGGATGCTGCCCGGTAGCAGACAATCATAATATGAATGTCCTATGTACCGTTATTATATAGCTTGTGTTTGTAGTTGATTTAACTCATGCTCTGAGTAGTTACATGTAATTCTAGGGCATTATTCTCCCATAATACCCACAGGCCAATAGCCCATTTTCAAGTTGACCTAAGCATCTCTATCAAAGCGAGGCCTGGTGCACAGTCATTCATGTAAAAATGAATTTAATTTCCATGTGAACAAAGTCTCATTTTCATATGAAAGGATGGGCACCAAGACTTGCTTTGAGAATGAGGCTTATGGTTATTGGGAAATGGCTTTTTATGGGCCTGAACAAACAAAGCAAAAGGTAATTTAATAATAACCAATAATAATTTTTGAAATTCAATAATTAAAACTACTTATTAACCTTGAATGTTTGGTCTTTATGGGAAAATCTCAAATCCTTAGCCTTGGTGTATTGATCCGGCCAGTGCTCCTTCACTTTGGTCTCAGTTTGAATTTCCCTGCTAAAGACCTCACTGTTGGTTAATTTACAGCTGATGATTATGATGAACATTACCATAATATTTATTTTCTTTTTTTAACTATTTATTTCTTGTCCTAGTACAATTTTTACAGTATTATTTTTGATCTGTAAACCTGTTTGCCATTAGGCCCTTGCAGGAAAAGCAAGTGTTTGTCAAGGATGTCCAGGACAGTATCTTTGCAGCCAACAAGGTACAGCTCATAGATCGCGTTCATGATGTAAACTTAATTACTCATCAGAAAACAAGTCTTTATAACTGTATTTGCCCACAGACATCATTAGGGATGGCAATGATTTTAATTAGTTTTTGTTCTTATATATTTATCACATTTCTTATTTGTGTGCATTTATCTTTAGTGTATATATTTAGTGTATGTTGAGTGTAGTAGGGGGTTGGATTGCAATTGGAACACTAGTTCTGTTTCTTTCCCCCATCACATCCCATACTACAGTCGAACCTCCAGTTGCGACCACCTCTTGTAAGCGGCCACCTCTCCTCAATGACCAGTTTTCCAAAATACCAAAAGTTTCCAAGTCAAATCGCTATATTTGGAACCTCTTGTAAGCGACCACTTCTTGTAAGCGACCGCAACCACTTTTAGAGCTAAAAGATAATCGAGCGGAAATTGGATAATAAGGTGTTGTATCATTATCACATTCCTGGATAGTACAAGGGACGGAAATTTCTCTATGCGAAGTGCCTGATTTTTTCTTGAATTGCCTTTTTACATGAATAAAACATTTAAAACATGGGGTAAGTCTCTGCAGTTACCTTATGCTAATGAGGCAAAATTTTGACGTAGTGTGGTCTAAGCTCTCTTAAGCGACCACCTCCTGTAAGCTACCACCTAGGCTTGACATTTTGGGTTGTTGCTTACAGGAGGTTTGACTGTATTTTGAATTTATGTGCCTAATGTATTTGAAGTTAGTTGTTTGACTATTTGAATTTATTTGTTCTTGTATTTTCAATTGGTAACAAACTCATGAAATAATAAAAAAAAAAACTTAAAGTAAAAAAAAAATACATGCAGATCTAATATTTTAGGTTATTATTTTCTTTTATTTTGAATGCTTCAGATTCATTTTGTCCAGAGATAAATATGGGACAATAAGAGTGACAAGTGTACTTGTAAGCAATTGTACAGTGGTAAAATAAAACCTAGTCCTGACCAATTTGTTTTAAAGTACAGTTACTGTATTGAAAATGTTTTTGACTCAATATATACATGTATGTGTTTGTATTTCTGGGAATATTATTAACAGGTGGGGTGGACCCAGACCAAGAGATGATTGATTTGCGAATGAATGCTGTTAAACATAAGATACTCATATTGTCAGGAAAAGGAGGTGAGATTGTAATTGAAATCATTTGATATAATTATTAGTAAGTTTTTATATTGTAAATGTACATCATGATCATTACTGTTACAGTAGCTATGCGTAATAATTTATTAATTGTTTTAAGATTTATAGAGTGGTTTTCAATTGAGTGCTGAAAGTAATTACTAATAGACAATTACATACTTTGGTTTTGGTTTTGGTTTTACTGCAGTTTGAGATTGGCTGAATAGTCTAACTGGTCAGAAATTGGTTTGGTTCTGGTTTTACGACACTCAATTGAAAATCACTCTATCTATTTACATGTAATTAATCTCAAAATCAGCAGCCTGACTAATTCCAGGATTACTCACCCTGACTTAGAAAAATTCTTTGATACAACTTTAACATTGAACTATAATTTTTTTGCTATACAGGTGCATTCCAAACTGTATAAATGGACAAAGTTTTCTTATGGAAAATGTGTTCATTATTGCCATTAAAACTTGTTATCAGAGTAACTTTATAAATGGTATTGTTGGTATTTCTCTAGGTGTGGGAAAATCAAGTTTAGCTGCAACCCTTAGCATGGCACTTGCTAACATGGGTAAAAAGGTACAATTTTTGAAGCATGATGCCTTGAATGTCTTCATAACACTTTTGAAACTAAGTATACTAAAGTAAAATTCAGATTTCAGATTTTTTTATTCTTATGCACTATTTACAAAAACTATAACATTAGCAGTATTGCAGAAATTACATCAATTAAAAAGAGAAAAGAAATATAACAATACATGGCCAAAATAAAATGTGCTCAGTGACCAAAGTAGCATAGGCTTTCGTGTTGGTCACAGACATGTACAAACAATTGACACAACATATCAATTACAGTAGAGATCAAAAAAGTAGAAAAGAGAAAAATACATATACAGTATATGAACAATAAACGCACAAAAAGATGGCACAAAAAAACATTATTTTTTAATACAAGAAAAATTGATACATCGGTTAATTTTTGATCCTGGGTTAGCGTTTACTGGCTTTCGAACAATCCGGCCCTGGTGTGTAAATGGGCACCAGCAAATTTAATGCCGGGAGTAACCCTGCAATGGGCTAGCATACCATTCAGGGGGAAGTAGAAATACTCCTAGTTGCTTCATGCTACAGAGACTGGAGATAAGCACTGGCCTGATGAGCCACTTTGCTGGTATGGAGACATTACCTTACCCCTCTATACTCTCAGGTGGAGAGGGGCACTGCAAGACTAAAGTGGCTCATGCAATGACCCTGCCATCCATGCCAGATCTCGGCCTGGACCATTTAATTCGAAGTCCAGCATGCTAACAATCTGGCCGTGGCACCTTCCACATACGCTGGAGTTCTAATTTTTGTTTACCTGTTCTGTAGGTGGGACTTGTTGATCTGGACATCTGTGGTCCCAGTGTACCCAAGTTAATGGCAGTAGCAGGGAAACAAGTCATTAATTCTCCTTATGGCTGGACTCCCCTCAAGTAAGAAGCTATAGTTTGTCTGTAGTTAGGCTGTGAACAGGCTCTGGCTGTGAGGATCTGACTGCAGCTTGAATGGCCGAGAAGGACTGGCTGTGAGTGAAGTGGCCAAGGAGGGGTTGATGTGATGGGGTGGGGCATAACATACATTCCCATCCTCCTCTCTTCTCTTCTCATTCTTCCTGCTTTATCTCTATCCCATCCTTAGCTAGAGAGCCTGTTGACGTGCTAATCTGTAGTGTGATTATCCTGTTGTTTGGTCTTGAAAAACAGCAATGTTGGTGACTGGTTTCTGTTTCCACAAATAAAAAAAAAAGGAAAAAAAAGAGAAAAATCCTGTTTGTTGGATGGTACCGTCAAGTAGTATCGTATGTACTGTAGGTTTCCAACCAATCAGATGATCGTATTATTCTGTCTCAGATCTCCTCATTTTGATGTGAAGGTCATGTCAGTGGGCTCCCTTCTGCAGAAAACAGATAGTGCGTAAGTTTGGAGGAAATGTACTGTTCCTGATAATAATTGTATAATAGTCTAAACACCGACTTTATAAAACTACCTCATTCATAAGTTCAAGCCCTAAATAAAACTATGAGCCCTTGCTTTTGCCAAACTCTCCTGTCACTAATAAGCCATAAAACAATAAACATTGTAGACTTTCTCAAAGTTCTTTGCACTTGATAGTACTCCCAGCACAAAGCATGAGCCTGTGAGCACTCTTTTTCCTCATGCTCTTCACACTCAGATTTTGAAATTCCCGGGCTTTTTTCTCGCTCTGAGCTTGATGCACCAAGATGAAGTCATTAAGGGGCCGTCAACATATTTTTAATTTCTGACTGCAGTATTCAGATGATAGAACCAGAATTGTTGGTACAAAGCAGCGCAATGATTTTAAAGATTTTTTCAACTTTGTGGCGACAACACACGGTAATGCAGTCCCGTTCTAAACATAAAGTCAGCCTTATTAAAATGGACCATTTTTGGTCAAAAAGTCCTTGTACTTTAGCATATTGATGGCCCCTAAGTGAATTATTGAACGGAAAGCAAATTGTAATTAACTTTGAGCGGTTTTTTACCAAGACACGAGAATAGAATTTGAAAATGTCTGCCAGACTTTTTCAATTTGACATCAGGACGTTGTGCATGCTTTTAAAACCCATAATCTCAATATTTTATAATTTCATTACGCTATGAAGCAACAGAGCCACTGAAGCAACAATTTGTTTTTGTTTGTAGGATAATATGGCGTGGACCACGAAAAACAGGTAACAATCCTGTACATGTGCTGATCATGAATGTGTAGTACTTGTAGTTCGTACGCAGTGAATGCGCACACCTGAACTACTGCAAACGTACTGCCAGTCCACTTTTGGTGCGCAAGAACCTCTTTCCTTTCCTTATTTTCAAGCTTCTCGGAAAGAAACGGCCAACGAATGATTTTTTTATTATCAGTTTTCTACTCAGCAATGATAAATTGTTTTTGTAGGATTAATCAAGCAATTTTTGAAAGATACCTTCTGGGGAAGACTGGATTTTCTTATCTTTGGTAAGTAATGCATAGTGGTCTTAACCTTTTAACCTTAAGCTTTGCTTGTCCATTTAGGGGTATGCCCCCTCCCCCCCTCCCCCCGCCCCCATGCAGCCCTGCAAATATTCTATCAGGCACCAAATAGTTCATCAGAACTAATTTGACTCCTGAATGAACGAGGCAGTGAGAGTTAGGATAAATATATTGTGCAATGTTCCGGCCATTGCTTGAACCAAGGCCGCTAGATCCAGTGTTTAAGACCCAATCTAGATTAAGCCGGAAAAATTTGAAAACGCAGCTTTTTTTCTACCGTAACGGTTAGGCCCACCGTCTAAAAAAGAGAAAACGTTCTTCAATTCGGAGGAATTTTAAAACGCCGGCTTTGCGTTGTAGTGTGAACGGAGAACATTTTGAAAATTGAGCTTTTCAAAAACGGATAATGATAACAGTCGTGCGATTTTCTTGACCAAGTTTTTCTCAAACACAAGTAATTGTTGCGTTTTGGAATTTCTCCGGCTAAGTGTGTATGGCGCAAGCCTACATTCGGCATAAGGCCACTTCTCACACGTTACGTTATAGGTAGATCTACAATTTGTTTCTCTCTTCAGACACGCCGCCTGGGACATCAGACGAACATCTCACGGTTGTCAAAGCGCTGAAGAACGTCAATCCAAACGGTGCAATTCTTGTCACCACGCCCCAAGACGTAGCTTTGGCTACGATCCGTAAAGAACTCAACTTCTGCCGTAAGATGGATGTCAAAGTCCTGGGCATCGTCGAGAATATGAGTGGCTTCGTTTGCCCTTACTGTCAGGTACATAATCTACTCTTTGAGACACCTATTAAAGGCTCACTTCATCCTTAATGCAACGAAGTTTGTTTTGAAAGAGATCGCGGCGCGCGCTGCATCATTGGGCCTTAAATTTCAGGGGCAGTAATATGAGATAATTCGACAGGAAGCAAATTTACAGGGGTGAAAGGGGGTCCGTATTAGAGCGAAATTCTTACACTACGTCTAAGGCGGTCTTGGTGAATTGCCGCTCGTCCAAAGGTGTTATAATAGATTTAGCTGTACCCAGTGGAGGTTTACAGAGTCTCAATCAAGACTCGATTTAACTGTTAACGAGTTTAAACTTGCACTTAGAATCATAATCGGTTTAGAGTAAATAGCCTCCAAATACTTCCAGAACAACTTAGCACGAGGCCAAAACAAAACAAAACAAAAATACACAAATAAAAGTAAAAAAGGACGCACATATAATCATAGCTTCCCCAATTTTGAGACTAACTTTGACATATTTCCCCACCAAATTAATGCTTTGTGAAGATTATCTCTGGCTACGTTGGCTTTTCCATGTACCAAACTAAGTCTTAGCCCTGATAAGGCATAAAAATCAAAAGTTCAAGATTACAAAATTCAAGTATCGGGACGTTTAAGTTCTGCAGCGGGAAATGGTAGTTACTCTAGTTGAAAATAAAACCACCGTAAGATGAAATGTTTATTCCTGTTTAGGAATGCTCCGACCTGTTTTCATCTGGCGGTGCTGACAAGCTCGCGAATGAATATGGTCTTCGTTTCCTTGGCAAGATTCCACTTGACCAGGTAAGATGTAAACAAACTGTCTGTGTCTCCGCTAGGTTAGCCTATTTACATTACATTTTGTTTGATTCCTTAGCTCAACACATGGACCAAGTCTTTGAGTAGGATGCAGGACGCTTGTCGCATATGAACCTAGTAAATAGCCTAGCATACCATGAGCCTCTCTCTAGCTCTGAGGTTAAAGCGCCTGATCGGTGTCTGGGAGAACCTGGGTTCCTAACCCGTCGGGATTCCTGAAACCTCTAAGTGTTGCGGGGGGGGGGG